TAATAGTTATCGATAAAATGTAACTAAATAAAGTTAAAAAGTTAAGAGTCTAAAATGTAACTAAGTTAAGTTAAAATTATTTAACTTTTCAACTTTTTAACTTAACTTTTAGCTTTTTAACTTGGCACTACCCAACCCTGCTTATAGTTATAATCAGTCTTTGCAAAACTAATGTCATATTCCACATATAAAAAAAAATAAAGAATCTTACTGTATAATACATAACAAAAATGTATCATTTTGACCAGGTTTTTATTACATGTTATCATTAATCAGAATCCGAAGAATATTTCCTCCTTTTGTAAGATTTCTTATTTCTATTTGCTTCTAAAGAAATAAAATTCTTTATAACATTTAAAAATTCATCGCGCTGTTCTAATGTTCTCTTTTTTAATTTATTTTGTTCTATAAGTAAAGCTTCAAATTTTTCAAAACGTTCATTTTCGATATGTATATCTTGTTCATGTAGCTCTTTTAAAACTGCAGTTACATTATCTTTCTTTGGTCTTACTGACTTGTTAACGTTCTCAAAAATATTTATAGTTTTTAAATCATTCTTTTCTTTAATATTCTCTAACGTACTGTCTTTTTTATTAGATTCCTGACTATCATCAACATTATTTTCTTTCTCATTGCTACAATCACTAGAAACTACAGTTGAATTACATTGATCCAATGAATCCAGTAAATTGACTGGTTTACTACTATGTTTCTCCCCAATAAGATCATGCATTTCGTCAAAATATTTAGGAGGTTTTTTCTTTCCTGTGCTAGTAGATTTCATGTAACGGCAATGTCCATGATACATTTTCTCTAAATTTCGCCAACGCTGATGACACTTATCTGCACACTTTGTTCCATTATAATTAGTCAAATAACTATTATTTTGCATTTTCATTGCAACATCAATCCATATTTTTTTTTGGCGTGCATTAAGAAGATGAAATTTAGTTTGCACAATTTCCAGTTAATTTTATTGTCATTTCATGAGTAAATTCTGTAAATATTAAAATATTTAATAGTTAGACATATTTATACTAGATTTTTGAAAAATAGTAAGTTACAGAGTTGTATCGTATATTTATAACAATATTTACTTCATTTGGCATTTTTAACATTTTTTCCTTCATTTTTTTATTTGTAGATTGTGAAGCATCGTTTCCAGTACTTTCTTGTGTTTCATCTACAAGATGAAATATGAATAGATATAATATAATAATTTGTAATACTATAGTAATTTGTTTTTAAATTATAATTAGTAAAACAATGTATCACATGTACGTATGACTTTATCTTTTAAATATCTTTTACATATCTGAGTTTGGGTATTTTTCTTTGGAATAGTTAATGTTAAGTTCTGAGAAATTATAAGTTATATATATAATGTACACATATATCTATGTATAAACATACTGTTGATATCACTTGTACATGAAGTTGATGGGTCTTCCATAACTTTTAAAGCACCTGCTATAATATAAATTTATATTTCATTACAAAAGATCTTAATATTTTACAGTAATTATAAAATAGAATTATATATATATATATATATATGTACAGTTTTACATACTTTGCGGGCAAAAAAGTATCGTTTTTCCACTTTCATCCAAAATCGGTTGACCTTGATCATCGGTACATATTAAGTAGTTATCCATATTTATCTATAAATAACAAATAAAATAATAACATTTTTACATAATAAAGAAAGTAATAAAGAAATTTTATTTAGCACACTAATAGCCCAATACTCAATGCTCTAACCTATATAAACGTAGAAATTAAGTCCATAAATGCCAAATTTAAGAGTTCAGTGCGTGTTTATAGGTTAACCTCAATTGAAAGCCTAACATAACTTACCGATTCTAAGATAAATACAACATAAAATAGATATGTAATATGTATTGTTTATATTTTTTCGTGTTAATTTGGCGCGTATTTCCAACTTACCAGAAATTTAAAATCGGTACACTGTTTTATTGCTAGGTACAGCGTGGTATCAACCAAAGAATGTTTTTGGTATCAACCAACTATGTATCAAAACGGCTAGCCCCACCTCTACCACTAATGACCATCAACATCTAGAATGGACCGCTGATGGCAATGGTGGGGGTAGAAAGACGATTAGAGTGAGAGGCAGG